CTTGAGTGAAAAAACCCAATGAGAGCGTGAGGTCCTGAGTTTGAACCCCAGTATACTCTCTTTCCTTCCCTCCCTCCCTCCCTCCCCCTCCCTCCTCTCTCTCCCTCTCTCTCTCTCTCTCTCTCTCTCTCTCCCTCTCAGAGAGGAAACATTCATTTACTGAGTAAACAAGTAAACAGCCCAGCTGGGAACATGGTGCCCACACTGCATGATAAACTAAAGTCTGTAGTGGTAAGTGAGGTACCCAAAGGAATAAACCAGCCAATGAGGATGAGTAAACAAATAATTAGCAGGCAAGGGAGAATAGAATCTGTACTAAAAAAAGAAATACAAACTAGCTAGTCATCTGTGGCTTATGGAATAATCCTAGCTACTTAGGAAGCTGACATATAAGGATTTCAGTTCAAAGGCAGCCTGAACAGTACCTGCTTTGAGTGAAAAAGCCAAGCAAAAATGTGAGGCCCTGAGTTCAAGCCCCAGTACTGGTATAAGACGAGAGACAGAGAGAGAGTGAGAGGGAAAAGGAGAGTGGGAGGGAGGGAAGAAGGAAGGAAAGAAAGGAAGGAAGGGTAGGAGGGAGGGAAGGAGGGAGGGAGAAAGGAAGAAAGAAAGAAAGACAAAAATTGCTAGAGGTGAGGAGAAAGGAGGGATAAATTCTGACCAGATGATTAAAGAAGGTCTCCTAGATAAGTAACCATTTTAGCTAGGCTTTGAAAGATGACCAGATGTTTATGGGGGGAGTAATTGGAGAAAGGGAAGGCAGGAGGGAAAGGGAAAGGCAAGCATTCTGGAAAGAAGGAATGTGTTGAAAAAAGATGGAGGATGAGTATATTCATGTTGTTTGGAGAAAGGAGGGAATCATCTAAGGTGGCAAGAGGATTGGGAATGGAAATGTTTGCCAAAATTGTTTGAGACCAAATTCTGGGTTTATTAAGTCCCCTTTTACATGCCCAGTTCTGTATAGTTATGAGGGACAGACTTCCGAGATGTTCACAGAGTCCTTCAGCTTGGGGAAGGATAGATCCACTCCCACACACATACAAAAAGTAGTTAAGGCAGATGGGGCCAGATAAACATAAGTACAAACATGGTAGATAAAATGAAAAGGGAGCCGGGCGCCAGTGGCTCACACCTGTAATCCTAGTTACTCAGGAGGCTGAGATCTGAGGATCGAGGTTCAAAGCCAGCCCAGACAGGAAAGTCCGTGAGACTCTTATCTCCAATAAACCATCAGACAACTGGAAGTGGCACTGTAGCTCAAGTGGTAGAGCGCTAGCCTTGAGCTGAAGAGCTCAGGGACAGCGCTCAAGCTCAGAGTTCAAGCCCCACGACTGACAAAAAAATAAATGTAAAGGGAGCCTGAAAAGGCACCCTGAGGGAGAATGGCCTTCCGAAAGGATGAATTCCACTCCTCTGATTTCTCCTGAAACTCAGATGGGCAAAATTTAAAAGACTGGACTTCCTCTGGGGACCTGTGGTTCACTCTTGTAATCCTAGCTACTCAGAAAGCTGAGATGTGAGGATTGAGATTCAAAGTGGAGCTGTGGTTGAAGTCGTAAAAGTGCCAGCCTCGAGTGGAAAAGATAAGTGAGAGTGACCTGGCCTTGAGTTAAATCTCAGTACCCACACCAAAAAAAGGTGAGTTGGTTAATAGCTAATAAAGATAAATCTGACGTAGCTCAGTCCCTTGGGAACTTGAAGATAGAATAGTTGTGGTGAATGAAGTATCCTCCATAGCCAGTGAAGTACCTTAAAATGAAAGTATGCTCGATTATCTAGATGGGTTCTGTTATCCCAAGAATCTTTATAAGTGGAAGAAGACTTCAGAAGAGGAGGCTGCTGTCGCTATGTTTTGTGCTGTAAAAATGCAGAAAGAAGCTGGGAGTTAGTGGCTCTCACCAGTAATCCTAGCTACTGATATCTAGCTAAGATCTGAGGAGTGTAGTTTAAAGTTAGCCTAGGCAGGAAAATCTGTGAAACTCTTACTTCCAATTAACCACCAAAAAGCTGGAAGTGGAAGTGTGGCTCAAGTTGAAGAGCACCAATCTTGAACAAATAATTTAAGAGACAGTGCCCAGGTCCTGAGTTCAAACCCCACTACCAACACACACACACACACACACACTCAAGAAGGGGCCATAGACTAAATAATTCAAGGAGCCTCCAGAAGCTGGAGATAACAAAGAAAGTGTTTCTCTTAGGTCCTCCTCAATGGACTGAAACTCTGCTAACACTGATTTTATCCCAGTGAGATCTGTGCAAGACTTCTAACCTTCTGAGCTAAAAACAACAACAACAAAAAAAACACATTAACTTATGTTGTTTCAAGCCATGAAAGTGTGTGACAATTTCTCATAGAAGTATTATTGAATGAGCATATACATAATACTGAACATACACATAATAATGTTCTAGCCTGAAAAAAATCCCAGGGCATGTTGTAAAAACTCAGAGTTCTGGATTCTGTCTTGGAGAGAATGAGTCAAGTAAGACTCCCCCCAAAAGGTTGACAATAGAAATAGATATGAAAGAAAAAGTTCTTGAGAGACAGCTGTGTGCGGGAGGGGGGGCGGGGGGCGGGGGGAGGAGAGTGTCCTGAAGACAGAGGAACATTGTGCGTAAAAAATACAAGACAGGAAAGAGACTGGCAGGTTTAGGGAATCATGAAGCAAATGCACTGGAGTACACAGGAAAGGCAGGATGTGTAAGAAGGGGACTCTGCAGGAGTGAGAGAGGAAGCTACTGCCTTTACATTCTCTACTCTGAAAAATGTTTTACCCGCATTCAGAGAAAATGTTATAATTATATACTAAAATGAATTGATTTACGTTTTTGGTCAAAACTGACCAGGCACAAATTCTCAATCTGTTGCCACCTCACACTGGTACAATTTGCAGAAAAGATTGAACACATGCCTGACATGGAGGTACACATCTGTAATCCTAGCATTCAGGAGGCTGAAGCAGAAAGATCTTAAGTTCAAAGCCAGTGGGTGTTAAATAGCAGAGTTTCAGGCAGTTTGGGAAAGAGGGAAAGGCTTAGCTGAGAAAAAAAGAAAAGAGAAAGAGAAACTGAGAGATGAGGGGAGAGATGAAGGAGGTGGGGGGAGAAAGAGAGAGCACACAAGATAGAAGGACAGAAGGAAGGAAGGAATGGAAGGAAAGAAAGGAGAAAGACAGACCAAAAAGAAAGAAAGAGGAAAGAAAAGGAAGAAAGAAAAGGACAGGAGAAACAAAGAAAAGAAGGAAAAAAAACCAAAAAACTAAAAGGAAAGGAAAAGAAATGAAAGAAAGGAGACAAAGATGTGGGGGGAGGGAGAGGAGGAGGGACCAAGGATGGAAGGAAGGAAGAAAAGACAAAAGCCGGGAAATATGCATATGTCAATGTAGCTATGGGCCTTACGAATTGGATTGGCCATTTTCACTCCTAGTTTGGTATTTCCTATAGGAGTCCTAATTCCTAGGGGCTTGTCATAGTTTTCTGATTTAAGAAGCCATCCCTGCAAAGGAGGAGGCTACAATGCTTGATAAGAAATGTACTCATTATCTTGCCCATGTAATTGTAACCCCTCTGTACAGTATTTTCACAATAAAATAAAAAAAAGCCATCCCTGAGCCAAGTGTGGTGGAACATGCCTGCAATCTCACTGGAGAAGCTGAGGCAGATGTATATGAAGTTCACAAGTCAGTGTGGGCTACATAGCAATATCCTCTGCAGAACCAAAGCTTGCTACAGCTGAATTAGATGTCCCTAGGACATGTGTTTGTCACTACTCCCCTCCTTCCTCACTGTAGCCACAAAATCCACTGAAGAAGATCACCTTTCTCCCCCAGCCTCAGAGCAAGGCCATGACCAAAAGAAAAATACGAGCCCTAAGTCTGCTTGTGTATCCTTGAAACTTTTAGTGCAGCTGTTCTCTGGCTCCAAGGGATGGGCTGTAAAGGAAGAGTAGGATTGTGGTAGGAATCTTTATTTCTCATAGACATTTCTGCAAAGGCTCAGGGACTGGGCCAATGGGTGGGAGTGTGGGATATCTTGGAATTTAGAGTCATCTGGGCTCTCCACTGGGAAACTCTCATCTGTAGCAAAGAGGGGAGTTGACCCCACCCCAGGGATGGGGGCAGGAGTGAGGCACGATACTGGGAGGTGTACATAAAGCCTGTCTCACAGGGGCTAGGGTCTCTGCTAGTCCTGACACAGGCCACAGGCAAGCTGGCTTCTCTCTTGCTCCCCTGCCCCTCTCCTTGTCCAACTCTTACCCCCCTCCCCGCCCCCTTCCTTGGCACTGGGGCCTCTGAGGAAGAAAAAGAAGAAAAATGAGTGGGCAGGAACAGTTAGATGCAGCCAAGAACACATCTGGCCTCCCAGGCGGACTCCTGGTACTTGCTTCCCCCTCCCCCAACGCCCCTTCCTCCCTTGCTGGCTTCTGATAGGGCTGTAGTTAAGCTGGATTGTGTGGGGTGCGGGGTGGAGGTAAGGAATTAGAGTGGGCCTGGGTGGGGGTGGAGTGAGGGTTGAAAGTTGTTCTAAATATTAGCTGGTCTTGTGAGGTGGCCTCTTGGCTGGAGCCTGACCACCTAACTTCCTGTTTTTCCTCCAGCTCTGTCCCTCCCCTCCCTCTGCTCTGGGCTGGAACTGAGCCGGGGGAGGAAGGAGGAGCAGTAAAGTTGGCCAGGGTCGCTTGTCTGATTCCCTGCAGGCGGGAGGCCAGGACAACCTCCCTAAACAAGCAGGCGGGAGGTGGGCACATATAGCCTTGGGTCTGCTTGTTGCCTCCCAACACTTGTTCCTCTGACCACAGCAGGAACAAGAAGCTCCTGGAAAACTCCAGCTCTTCCATGAGTATATCCTGGCCCTGGGGCCTGAGATCTCTCCATGCAGGAACAGCCACAAACTCCGGAGGTGGCGGCATCGCCCGTCCCACCACCTCCGGCCCCGCCGTCCAGCCAGCCGCTGGTCCCTTCACTGCCAGTGTTCGTGGACCACGCAATCCAACCAAGTGAGTGAGCAGGGGCTGCCTGGGAGTGGAAGGGTGGTGGGGTGGGGGTTTCTAAGCTGGAGAGTGTTTGCATGCATTCCCCCCCCCCTTTTTTGTACTCAGGGACAAACATGGGAGGCCTGGGCAGGCTGCCTGGGGTGGGGGGATGGGCGCTGAAATGTTAATCTGAGTAGATGTTTTTAGTGTTTTTATTCCCCCCTGGTTTTACTTTTTCTCTCCCTCACACCCTCCTCCCACCCCTCCACTCTGTTTTTCCTCTGTTTTCAGGCAAGGAACTCATTAAGCCCAAAGCGATTTTAGGACGCCCATTAGAGAGACCCACAGAGGTTGGTGCGGCTGGTGCTGGTGCTGGTGCTGGTGCTGGTGCTGGTGCTGGTGGTGGTAGTGGTCCTGCTGCTGCTGCTGTTGCTGACGAGTGCCCAGGATCAGGGGCCAGGGGAGTTGGAGTCAAAAATCATCGCTGTCAGGTCTGCCGGCCCCCCAGCCAGTTTCTCAAGTCAGGCACCTCCTACTCCCTTTGGAGGCCTAGGGATCTCTAAGGCCCTCCAGCGTCCCTTGCCACCCCTATCTTCAATCCCATCTCCTTAAGCTCAGCCTCTCTTGGTGGCTTCTCTTTTTACCCCCCTCCCCATCTACCACCCTCCTCCCATCGCACCCCACCCCATCTCAAATTTTCAAAGTGATGACAAAGGACTAAGAGATGTCCCTGTGCTCATCCTGACCATTTAGTCTGCGGTTGCCTGTCTGTGATTTCCCCTGCTGTATACTTGTGGCACAATTGTTCTCTCGGAGCCACCAGGCGTCTCCCAAGAGCCCCGGAAAGACATCTGTTTCCAGGCTAGGCTGGTTTTTCTCCTGGAACTGCTGGGCCCAGGAGAGACTCTGGTCAGTCGCTGTGACCACACCTGAGAGCTCGCTGCCCTCCTGTTTCCTGAAGACCCAGGAGGAAGAGGCATTTCCCGCCCCTCCTACCCCACCCCCCCTCCCAAGCTCCCTGCCTCCCCCCCGGGTGCCTGGGCTGCCACATCACTTCAGTGGCCCTCCGCTCCCTCCCTGCCCTGGCCACGCCTGGGAAGGGAGAGGAAGACAGAAGGACCCCGTCCTAACCCCTGTCATCCCTCCTCTTGCCAGCGGATCCGAGCCAGCCGAGAAGCAGGCTCACGGTTTGCCATGGAGGGCTTGGACGATAAACTGATCCTGAACGTAGGGGGCATGCGCCATGAGACCTACATCAGCACCGTGCGGGCCTTTCCAGGCACCCGCCTCTACAAGCTGACCGAACCACCCCCGCCTGGCACCCCAGCTGCTCAGGGTCCACCAGTCCGAGAGTTTTTCTTTGATCGCAATCCTGAGCTCTTTAGCTATGTCCTGGGCTACTACCGTACCCGGCAGTTGCATTGTCCTGCCGATGTTTGTCGGGATGTCCTAGAGGAGGAGTTGGCTTACTGGGGCCTGGCTGAAGCGCCATTGGCACCTTGCTGCTGGCTCAAGCTAGGTGGCAGGGAGACCCGTACGCAGGATTTCCTGTCCTGGGAAGCCTGTGAGAATGCCCATGTGGATGAACGCCTTCTGCTGAACCCCATCGAAAACCAGGGACTGCGGAATGCTTGGAAGCCATGGCTCTGGATGCTTCTTGATCAACCTCGGTCATCCCTAGGGGCCAAGGTAATTCATTCACAATGTGTGGTCCCAAAGGGCCTTGCCAAGTTGCCACAATTACTACGCACTTGGCATAGTCCTTAGAGTCTGAATCTATGAGATTCTTCCGAAGAATTTGAGGGGATCCTCCAAAAATGGAGGGAAAGAAGGTGGAAATAGAGCTAGAGAGGGAGGCAGTGGCTGTATGTGAGATTTCTGATGTGCTTCTTTTTCCCCTCAGTGCCTTTCCCTGATCTCCGCCCTCTTTGCCGTGTGTGCCCTGGTCATCTTCTTCCAGGAGACGGAGGTCCAGCTGGATTATTTCTCTGCCAACTTCACTCCTGTGGGACATGGGGTGGGGGCAGGAGGGAACCAGCAGCAGCCGCAGCAACAACAACAGCAACAGAACAATGGTCTTGTTTACCGCCGAGCCCCCCACTTGCTTTACCTGGAATTGCTGTGTGCCCTTTGGTTTGGAACTGAGCTCTTTGCCCGGGCCATTTCCTGCCCTGATAAGGTGCGCTTTCTGTGTAGCCCTCTCAATCTGGCTGACATCTTCTGTTTGTTCCCTGTGCTGGTAGAATTAGTGGTGGGTGACAAGGCTGAACGGCAACCCCGCCTTAGCCTTACTCTGGGAGCCATTCGTTCTCTCTATGTTCTCAAGTTGGTGCGTCTTCTGGGCTTTCTTGAAAAGTCTTTGGCCTTGAGAGTCTTGGTTCATACTCTCCATTCCTCCTGGAAAGAAGTATGTGCCTTTATCCTAATTTGGGTAGCTGAAATCTTATTCTTTGGTTCACTCTTCCTCTATGGAGAGCTCTTGGGCATGTCTACCCCAAGTCAGGGTGAGCTCCACTTTGGAGATATCTTTACATGTCTCTGGTGGACTGTGATAACTCTCACCACTGTCGGCTATGGAGATGTCTACCCCCTTTCTGCTCTGGGTCAGCTTACTGCTGCTGTCACAGCAACCGTGGGCATGTGCACTGGTGTCTTGCTGGTGCCTGTGCTCCTGGTCCGCTTCCAGCGCTATTATGCCGTAGCCCTGGCTCGCCAGAAACTGAGGCCCAGTGGCCTATAATGGGCCATTGATCAAGAGGGGTAGGGGCCCACCTTCCCTTCCTCTTGCCAGTTTCTGGTTATTGATAATGATTTCTGACTTTGGACTTGGAAAAGAAAACAATTCTTCAAGAATAGCCCTCGGTCATGGCAATTCCTGATCATCAGGATCAGCTAAACATGGCCAATAGGTCAGCTTCTTTCTTCTCCTCAAGGGGGCGCCCTGGAGGAAGAGCCTGAGGCGCAAAGTTTTTTAGGCCTCAGTGTCCTTGACCCACCCTAAGCCCTTCTCTTCTTACTCCTGAAATAACCAGGAAGGATAGTTTCCTGGATTGGTGCTATAATTCTCGCAACCAGTTCTGTCCCTTTCTCACATTCCTGCCTCCCCCAGTGGACCCTATCGCTAGATAGGGGACTTTGGGGTGACAGTAACCATAATATATCAGCTGGTTACATGGGAATATCAATGGTGATTGGCAGTGGGTATAAATAGTAATTGTTTGTGAATATCTTGATAGAAACTGGTTGTGAGTATCAATGACAATTGCTACCTTCGTTACCCAGGTATAGCCAAATTGTAGCATTGCTCTGCATACTGATCCTGGGACAAAGGCTTCTGACAGTCTTTGAAGATTCTCAGAGATTCTAGGCAGATGCGGGTCAGCCATGACTGAACCCAAAGCACTCCAACTCTATGACCTCTTTATCCCATTATATTTTTACCCAATCCTTCCTTCCCCCATCTCTGTGAGTTTTTTCCCTAATATTTTAGACATAGTATTAAGCCATCAGTAATCATGATATATTAGTCAATATTAGCCACAATATATCAGCTACAATAACAGTATATAGTCACTAATAGGCATGAAATGTTATCGTTACACATTGCATGGACAGGAATGAGGAAACTGGGATTGTTGACAAGAACAGGCACTCAATTTCCTCTTCCAAATTTTTTCCATATTTTTAATAAAAATTTACTCATTTATAATTCTTTTAAAAAAATTTTTTTCCAAACACTTTTCAGTACCCACAACGGGTCTACCTCCAATTCTCCAATCCTAGCTGCTATTTGAATATTCTTACCTTCCGATCTCTTCCATTTCTTTTTCTTCCTCTTCTCCTCCTCCTTCTCCTCCTGCTCCTTCTCCTCCTCCTCCTCCTCCTTCCTGCATGCTCTTGCCTCTTGGATTTTCCTGTGGTGTCTCTCATCAACTCTCTTGGAACTGGCTTCCAGGAGGAACAGAAGGGGCCTCCTCAGGTCTAACATCAAATCAAGCCACTAGGTTGTCTGAGAAAGTACACCAGGCAACTTGGCTGAGCTGGGAGGTGAATTGAGCCCTCATTGTTTCTGAAGCTGTGAGCATAATTCTGTTTACAAAACATTTAAATAAAATATCCTCTGACATCGTCATTCCAAGATTGTCTGTGGTTTTTCTGGGAAAAGCTTATAGACATCAATAGGGATGAGACTGGTCGACCAATTATTTGGTAAGGTAAAAAGCAGCTAATTTCAGTGAATCTGAAATGAATAAGCTATTATCAATCATAGATAACAGGTAGAAAAAAATGTGTATGCCCTGGGAATAAGGTGGGGAAGGGAAGAAAACAGGTCCAGGATTGAAGACTAGAAGACTGTCTTCTATTGGTAGAAATCGTGGGTACTTACCAGAGGTAGGGGTTATTGGGGTGATTTCCACTTAAGGATGGCAAGCATCAAAGACATTTACCTTCTTACTGCCTAGAAGTGGAAGAAATTTGAAAAAGTTGCTGTTTACAGAGGCCAGTTTAGTCCACTGTCCCTCAGATGGAGTGTGGTAGGGGGTGGGAATGAGGTATAGAGAAGGAAGGAACATTAACCAGGGCAGAAAGGGAACAAGTGATGGAGCTTGGATTTCAGTCATCTCAAGAAATTGATGATTAAGCCAGGTAGTGGTGGTTCACACATAATTGTGGCTACTCACAAGGCTGAGATCTGAGGATTGAGATTCAAAGCCAGTCCAGGCAGGAAAGTCTGTGAGACTCTTTATCTTCAATTAATCAGCAAAAAGATGGAAGTGGAGCTGTAGTGTAGCTCAAGTGGTAGAGTGCCAGCCTTAAATAAAAAAGCTAAAGGATAGCTCCCAAGCACTGAATTTAAGCTTCAGTCACATGTGTGCACGTGCCCGTTTGCACACACACATACACACACACAGAATGACGGTGCCACAAGTTTTCCTATGCTCCTATTTCTATAAAAAAAAACTGTATAAGGCTGGGAAGGTGGTTCAGTGGTAGAGTGCTTGCCTTGCATGCATGAGGCCCTGGGTTTGATTCCTCAGCACCACCTAAGCAGAAAAAACTGGAAGTGGTGCTGTGGCTCAAGTTGTAGAGTGCTAGCCTTGAGCTGACGAGCTGAGGGACAGCACCCAGGCCCAGAGTTCAGGCCCTGTGATCGACAAAAAAAAAAAAAAAAAGAACTATGTATCTGAACCTATCCTAAGCCTCCAGCAAATAATGCTCTACAAGACTGAGCTCTGAAATCCCCTTGTTATTAGGGACTACAGTGAATATTGAACACTTTCCACTATCCTGCCTTTCTTGTGATTGGGATTGCACTACCATATTAAGGTCACTATCTTCTTTCCAGGAGTGAATTGTTCCTCCTTGAGGAAGGTGGAGTGTTAATTATTTGTATCTTCAGTGTTCCCCAAAGGCCCATGTGTTAAAGGCTTGGTTATCACTCTGTGGAACTATTGGGAAGTATTGGAAGTATTAGGTGGGGCCCAGCAGGAAGAAGTTAGGTCATTGAGGTGGTGCCCTTGAAGGGGATACTGGGCCTGATCTCTCTCTCTCTCCTCCTCTTCTTGGCAAACACCAGTTGAACAGCTCTCCTCTGCCACATGCTTTTGACATGATGTTCTGCCCTACTACTGGCACAAAAGGAACAGGGCCAAGTGACTGGAGATTGAATCTTCTGAAACCATGAGTCAAAATTAAAATCAACTGCTCCTTTTTTTTTGGTGTTGTTTTGGTGTCAGTTTTAGTGCTTAAACTCAGAGCCTGGGTACTTTCCCTTAGCCTTTTCTTTCAAGGCTGCCACTCTACCACTTGAACCACACCTGCACTTCTAGCTTTTTGCTGGTTAATCGCCAATAAGAATTTCACAGACTTTCCTGCCCGAGCTGTGTTTCAATTGGGACCCTCAGATCTCAGTCTCCTAGGGAACTAGGATTATAGGTATGAGTCCTCTTTCTTACGTGTGAAAGATAAATTTTGAGCTATGAGCTAACTTTTTCCTACACGTGTTCTCATAAGCCAGTGACACTCTGCTCCATGAATATCAATCTCCATATTCCTACATCTGTCTGCTTCAATGATAGCAGAGACCCCACTGGCCTTGTTCTCTTCACAGGCCCTAGAAGGCTTCCTGTTTCTAGTGGCTGTTTTGGAAGGCCAGTCTCCTAGCCACATTTTCTGTCTGGATCCTTGTTATTAGAAGGGTTTGTGAGGTTGGTGGGGGTAACCCCAGCCTATGTTTGATCTTATTTGGTGAAGTACATAGTTGTTTTCTCTGTTCCTAAGTACATAGTTGTTTTCTCTGTTCCTCGTGCCTCAGCCCTTAAGTATTTGTCTCAGCTGCTCAAGCCTAGCTGAGCTTGCACTTTCAGCTCAGACCCATAGAGGGCAACCATGGCCAGTTTATGAGAAATAATTCTGGGTGTGGCCTCTCCCTTCACTTCCTTTACAGTGCTTGTGAAATTCTAGAATTACAGGCTGTCAGAATCACAGTGTGATTTTAGGTGATGTACATTCATATCTGTTAGTGATATAGAGAACCAGACTGTGACTCTAGTTCAGTGGCACAGTGCTTGCCTTGCTTGCCTAGCACCCACAAGGCATTGTCTTCCATTCTTAGCACTCCAAAAAAATTCTAGGAGAGGGACTGGGAAGATGGCTCAGTGGTAGAGCACTTGCCTTGCATGCATGAGGCTCTGGGTTTGATTCTACAGCACCACATAAGCAGAAAAAGCTGGAAGTGGCACTATGGATCAAGTGTTAGAGTGCTAGCCTTGAGCTGAATTGCTAAGAGACAGTGCCCAAGCCCAGAGTTCAGGCCCCATGACCAACAAAAAAAATTCTAGGAGAAATTGAGCCTCAAACAAGGTGAGAGTAATGTAAATGCAGTTAGAGTAAGAACCCACATTTCCTGAATATTCAGTTCTAACTCTGTGTCTCTGTCTGTCTGTCTGTCTGTCTGTCTGTCTCTCTCTCTCTCTCTCTGCTAGTATTGGGACTTGAACTCAGGGCCTTGTGTTCTCACCTGGCTTTTTCATTCAAGGTAGGCACTCCATCACTAGAAATATAACCCAGTTCTGAGTTTTTGGTATTTAATTGGAGATAAGAGTTTCATGGACTTTCCTGCCCAGAAACGGCTCTGAACTGTAATCCTTAGATCTCAGCATCCTGAGTAGCTAAGATTACAGTCATGAGTTACTAACACCCATCCAAATACCTCTTTTTGTAGTTGTGGAAACCGAGGTCCAGTAAGGAACTTGCCTGAGGCTGGCCACACAATGAGACAGTTATGACTTAAACTTAGGTGTTTGGAATCTCAATTTAAGACTCTTGAAATATAGTGTTAGGCATTTAGCTCTTCCTGTGTATTTCAGATATAAAGGGCTCAGAGAGGGAATGCCATTTGCCCCATGTCACAGAGGGAATTAATGATAGTCACAACTAGAGCTGGCTGTGAGATTTGGGCCTGAATGAAATTTGGGACCCTTAACTTCTAGGTACCTACAGATGCTGCTAATGAATTAGGGACCCCTAAATTTCAGAAGTTATTACAACAGTGAAAGGTATACTTCTTGCTTAGGCTGTTTTGTCCCCAATTAGCTAGATCTGGGCACACATTGTGTATATATGAGTGTGTAGGAGGATGTCTTCCCACCCCTGTTCTGTACCCCTCCTCTCTCCAGAGAAAAAAAAATCTCTCAACAAAAGGCTCACCTCATTTCTCCCCTTTCAAGGCCTCCAGCTTTGAGAGTGAGAGGATGACTCACTCGGCTCCCACAGTCGCCATTGCGGAGAGCATAATTGCTAGCTGGGACATCACCATAGCACCCAGCCATCACATTTGCAGAGCGCTGTCTTGTTTTTGTCAAAGCTTTTTCCTATCATTTTTTTTCTTTCTGCTGCTTCTTCCCTGAGCCCCAGGGAGCCAGATGAGGCAGATATCATTACCCTTGCTTTTCTAAAGAAGAAAATGATTTATGGGGGGTAGATGAGGGAGGACCATGCAAGTTGAGAACAGACAGACTAAATCCCTTGATTTTCTGATTTCCATGTTACTGGAATGTTCTGCATAAACACCCAAAGCCCCAAAGGAAGCATCAGTGTACCCCATGTGCTTGATGGAAGATTCCACCCTTGTTTATTAATCATTGAGCTGTGACCTGACACTGTATTCAGCTTTCATTGGAGACCCTGTCTCTAAATATTCACCATTTGAATATTGATTAGGTCACCACCTCACATAATGGCAATCTTCAGCCTTCTCTTTTTTCTTTGGCAAAGTGATCCCAATAGAGCCTTTCAATGGGTGGCTTTGAACCAGTTTCATATTTTTTTTCAGAGCACTTAATTAGGAGTCAAGAGATTAACATTCTCTTTCCATTCTAACATTACTTCACTGTGCAGCAGGTGACAAGCCCTTTCCTGTCTGTGGGAATGGAGCTGCCAAGAACCTTTAGGTCACCCAGGCTCACATCTGTAATTGTAGCTACCCAGGAGGTTGAGATCTGAGGATTGTGGTTCAAAGCCTAACTGGGCAGAATGTTTGTGAGACTCTTACTGCCAATTAACCAGCAAGAAGTCAGAAGTGGAGGTGTAGTCCAAGTGGTAGTATATGAGCCTTGAGTGAAAAAGCTAAAGGACAGCTCCCAGACCCTGAGTTCAAGCCCCAGCACCACCACAGAAATACAATTTAAAATGCTTTTCATGATACCACAGACCCCTAAACAGGGGAATAATTGGACAACATAGAAACCACAGAAATGCAACAATGTAGCTATTACCTACTCAATGAAAAAAATGCCTCTTTATATATATGGCATCACTGTGATTTGAACTCAGATCTTCATACTTGCTAAGCCGTGTCCATAGCCATTGAAGATTAATTTTTTAAGGTTTTTATTGTTATATATAGTTATACAAGGCAGAGAGTTCATTGTGACAGTCCAAAGCAATATACAAAAGTCACAAATACACACTCATGTTTATTGCAAATCCATTCACAATAACCAAACTATAGAATCAGTTGAGGTGCCCAACACCTGATAAATACATAAAGAGGAAACGGTACATATATACTATGGAATATTACTCGGTCATGAAGAAAAATGAAA